AAATTAGCATATGTGAGACCCTCAAGTAGATAATTAATTGGATTAAAGTTTTCCCGCCAAAAAACTTAATATATAGAGCACTCTAACCTTGAACTTGTGCCCCCCTCCCACCACTTAGCCCCCACACTTCTACTTGCTACACCCAACCAACTCACACTGTTCCAATGCTTCAAACCTTTACGTTTAACTTCTCCAAACACTTTGTGATACTCATGCTATGTCAGACCAACCTTCCGAAACACTTAGTTACTTGAGTGAGACTTTTCTGCCAGAATGATTGTCGCTCTACTGGTCAGTCAATGCACAGAAGTTTGCTCCCCTGGGGATGTCTTTGCGGAGACACGGTGCTTCGACACACCAGCATTCCTGTGCAACTGACTGACCAGTAGAGTGACAATCATTCTGGCAGAAAAGTCTCACTCAAGTAACTAAGTGTTTCGGAAGGTTGGTCTGACATAGCATGAGTATCACAAAGTGTTTGGAGAAGTTAAACGTAAAGGTTTGAAGCATTGGAACAGTGTGAGTTGGATGGGTGTAGCAAGTAGAAGTGTGGTGGCTAAGTGGTGTGAGGGGGGCACAAGTTCAAGGTCAGGATGCCCATATACTAAGTTTTTTGGCGGGAAAAATTTAATCCAATTAATTATCTACTTGAGGGTCCCACATATGCTAATTTTTTTGGCAGGCAGGATTTTGGCAAAAAATTCATCAACCAAGTGTTCAGGTCCAAAATGACAATTTTGCAATGAAATCAGGATAAAAATGTGGAATTCAAGTGGCCAATTACATATTGCAACAACGGTGATTGGCTTTTCAAAAAAGGCATCCAGACCCTCAAAGTGGTGTTTGTGTTTTAAGGTGGAAGAAGAGTGTGACTAAGTGTTTGGAAAAATTGACTGGAAACAAGAAAGGGTGATGTACCGTGCAATTAAAACCAGAGTTCAGGGATGAAAGCCATGTAGCCTGGGTGCCATCCTCCGTAGTTTTCGCCCAGTGACATTAGGGAGCGGGCAAAAACTACGGAGGATGGCACCCAGGCTAAAAGGCAAGGAAGAGTGTGCCAGATTGTAAGTGAAGCATCAGACCGCAGACAAGAGTGACGTACCGTGTAATTAAAAGCAGTGCAAGTTAGGGTGTGACTAAGGCCCCATTCCCACTACGGTAAAATTGTCCGGATCAAGCCGAATTGATTCACTTTGATCCGGCTTGAAGCAGAAGCAGAAGCAAAGCAAATCAATTCGGCTTGATCCGGACAATTTTACCGTAGTGTGAAAGGGACCTTCGACAGAAAAGTTGAGCGTGCAAAAGCAGAGAAAGATTTTAAGTTAAGAGTTTAAGTGGTTAGGGAAGATACCGGTAAGTGTAAAGGTCCAAAGCGTCAGGAAAAGGGTGATGTACCATGCAAGTTTGAGTGAAGGGTTTAGCAAAACGGTGAAGAAAGATGTTGTGAGTAAAGGTCCAAAGACAAGAAGTCCAGAATGTAAAGCATTTAAAGAGTTGTGAAAGTTAAGTGAGAAATGAGCATGGTGGTCTGGTATTCTTTTCTGTGGCTAGGCACGTTCAGCAAAGTATCAAGTTACTTGAGACAATTTGAGGCTAGCTGTGAAACTTTCCAAAATAGTCTGGACACAAGAGTTTGTTTACTTGTGATTCTACAAAAAAAAAAATCCCTTAAACACAAATCTTCTTCTTCCAACAATGACGTTAATTGGATGCTCCTTGATGTTTGAATTTGCAATAGCATTTTGAATTTGCAATAGCATTTTGAATTTGCAATATAGCATTTGTACATGTCCACACCCAAATGACTGAATAGGTGTACTTTCCAGAAAACAATCTATTTGTGCAAAAATTTCTTTCTAATACAAGGTACCCGTGAAAAAATGGCCTGAAGGCGCAGGTTTTTTGTAAATGACTGCAAGTGGAACATTGAACTTCTCATTTGGTTCAAATTACATAAGAGCAAATATGATCCAAATTGAACAACCGTGGAAGTTTGACAGTGAAGGTTACAAGTAAGTGGAAAAGTAAATTGTGCAAAGCAGAGTTAAAGGGTATAAGGATAGAAATGTATGCAAGTGTGTGTACTTGGTTGTGTTACACAAATAAACTATACTCACAACTTGACCCCAGCCTGTGTCTTCTCTCACTGCTTTACTGGTAAAAGTCTGGTCCTTCCTTCCACCATGAGTCATGTGGGGAGAGGAAAACAAAAGTCAATATACAAATCATTATGGATCAATTCACCTTTAGTAACAACTAGGATATTATAATTATATTGCCTACAACACAACTGTTTTTTTTTTCACTGGGGAACGTTACATAAACATTGTAAAAAGCCAGACTTTCTTCTCATCCAAAACTTTTTATCTTGAAAGAAACAAGACTAAGGTAAACTGCTTTGTAAGTTGAAAAACATTGTCTCACCTGTAAAATCTCTTCATTCCACCAGTCTTCAAGTCAACCAGTCTTCAAGTCAACCAGTCTTCTCAGCCCTCATCTGGTCTGGTTTCGACAGGAGTCGCTGGTCATCACAGGTTTCTCCCAGTCAGGACAGCTGACAGTCAGGACACACCTACCGATATGAACAGATGGTTATTGTGATGCAACACTGAATGACCATTAAAGATAGACTAAGTGACAAAATTGCACAATTGGCCAATCCCTTTCGTTGAATAGATGTACAAAATCCTAGGCTCTAGAACGTTGTTATCTATTGCGACATGCCTCAGAATTGCGACATGCCTTAGAAAAATATAACTTGTACAATGAGAATCATTGTCTCACCTATACAAACTCACTGTGTCTTCAGGTCATCTGATTTGCTGGTCTGGACTGAAGTTGCAGGTCATCAGGTTTCTCAGAACATGAATACCTGGTCTTGTCAGGTTTAGAATCATCACTGCAGTCAACTGCATCAGTCAGCAGTCACCTAGCTACACAGACATTACAAAGTTACATGCTTGTCTCAGTTAACACTTAGAAAACTACTACTGGTACAATTTACAATTTAGATTTCAAGTTCTCACCGGTCTTCCAAAGTGGTCACTGAGATTTAGACAGGAATCACCGTCACTGCTGCATCAAGTCAGCAGCCACCTTACAATAGAAACATAAGTTACACACTTGTAATACAGTACTAAGTAAATGGTAGGCAAAATGCAGAATTTTTCTCACCTGATATTCCTCTTTGGTCTTCAAGTCACCTGGTCTGGTCCAATTTTCTCTTGTCAGGTTCAGTCAGGAGTCCCCACTACTGCATCAGTCAGCAGCCACTTAATAACTATACAGACAAATCACGAGTTACACAATAGTTGCAGGTAAAATGCAGAATTCATATTTTTTCATCACTACCGAGGAGACCCGGGTTTGATCCCGAGTTGTATCTGGGACATTTCTGGACATGCCCACCTTTTGTATTCAAACTAGCAAGCAACCAGCAAAATTAGAACAGGGTAACGTTATATAAAATATATATAACATGAAACTTTAGGATTCAGCCTTAATCATGCACACGACTGCACATTACAATAGGTGTTTTTGAACGGGTTGGTGGAAAAAAGAGTCCAGTCCGATTGGTAGAAAAAGCAGTCCTATGGTTTCTGTGTGTGGTAGCACCCCCTTGCAAAATATGATTAAAGTACAAGCAGTCTAGTGTGTTACCGCATGTCGTAGTGTGAAGTGCACTCATTGGGTGCAGCTATGCAAATGCCGACAACTGCTTGCAATACTTACGTAATAATAATAAGAGTCGGAGCAGCAGCTAATCGTAATCTCGTTCCACGAGGAGGACCTGAACTGAACTGACTGCCCCTGCTGCTGGAGGACATTACCGTGCTTGTAATTCCATATAACTTTTCTGTTTTTCATTGAAGAAAATGCACCAAACGTAAAACCCCACCAGACACCCCCAATTAACTGCCGCTCCGTAGTATCGCAGGCAGTTGTCAGTATTTGCATAGATGTATTCAATGATGTTTCACACCATGACATGCGGCAACACACCAGACTGCTTGTACTTTTATCGTATCTTGCAAGGGAGCACTACTACACACAGAAACCACCGGACTGCTTTTTCCACCCCAAATCGGACTGGACTGCTTTTTCCGCCAATAGGACTGGACTCCTTTTTCCACCAACCCCTTTTTTTTAACCACGTGGAGAAAAACAAAATACAATTTTTGTTAGACTATTTTTTTCAGAAATATGAACTCACGGCGTTGTGTACTAAGTATTTGACAAGAATGAGACATAGAAATACGCTTAAACTGTGCAAGCACACCGCACATGGAAAAAAAATTATGTTATACGCGCGAAAAATCGGCTCTTTCAAAGTCTGTTTTAAATCGGGAATTGTCGCTCGTAGTTTACAGAATATCATTTCTTTCTGAATATGATTTGTTTAATATAACATGTTCTTACTAGTTGTTAGGAAATAAAGCTAGCCAATTAGTTTGTTGCTTACCTGTACGTCAAAAGCGAAGTTGCTTTCTGGCACTCTCTGTCTCACGAACAATCTCGCCATTTTCTTCTCTTCTCCAAAATTCACCAGGTCATGAAAATCCGCATTTTCTTCCCAAAACATCGAGAGAATAGGATGATTTTACTTCCAAAACTTCCGAACTCTCTACTGTACATTTTAGAAACACATTCTGATGATAAAAACTCTAAAAAGTACCCTGAAAGTTGCAACAAATACAACATCGAGAAGCGGAGCATTATGGCGACCTATCTCTCATGGCGGACAAAGCCACGAGGTGACCTCTAGTGGGGTCACGACCTTAAGGGTCAACTCTCCTGATAACCAATATAGTGTTACACTTTTGTCATGTGGCGTGATCTTTTCTTCCTTCCTTTTTCTAATTCTTGTTAATTATGCAAAATTTTCCTCTTCCCTGTAAAACTGTCCAGCATTAGGGTTCATTTATCTATTCATTCATTCAATAAATTAAGTTACTTAAATATAATCAACAAGAAAATGACTCAGACACAATAAATCATTCTGATATGACCTGCTCCTTTATTCATTGATAAAAAATTGCACATTGCAGAAGAATAGAATAACTTTCTCCAATTTTTGTACACCTTCAAAACTAAACTAACACATCTGACACAATTGTTCGTTTAAAATCACATCATTTATCCCCATTTATAAAAATAAATTCCTACTTAGCTAGACGGACTTTCATATTTGTTATCACAGTTTGAGGAATCAACATAATTACATGTGTGCTCTGTAGACGAAAATTCTCTTTCTTTAATGTGATTACACAGAAAAATGGTCTGCGGATGCCTTCAGCAGCAATAGTAGAAGAGAGGAAGAAATAAAAAGCAATATTTTTTCAAACAAATGTACAAATTTCATTGATGCCACTTCTACTTAAGCCACATCAACAATGTCTTGCCCAGTTTCCTCTTACAGTCTTTATGTCAAAGGATATCATAGAAAATTAATCTTTTTCCAGAACTTCTTGAACGCTTATTGTACCCTTTTGACATGTTACGAATGCTAAAGGCAGCAAAATATTCTCTTCTAGAGTTTGACCCCCACCTTCTAAAATGTTTAACTGGACAAGACATTCTAATATGGCTTTTACATAACTTGTGATCCATGCATCACTAAGCTTTGTATTCACACCTACATCGAAAGAATTATACTAGGATAGGGACGTATATAACATGTCATCTAAGAATACAGCTTTGATGGTAAAGACCTTTATTGTACGGTACATTTTCATATACAGTACCCCCGCCTGCAGAGATAGTATCTATTGGAGGAATGGAGGTGGTTTAGAACTCATAGTCAGTCATACTAAGGCCACACCAATATAATTCCTTGGTGCTCATAAATTTTATGTTAAATAGGCATCCAATGCGATTTCAGGACAACAACACAGATGTTTTAAAGTCAATTTTCTGGTCATTCTTTTATTGTAGTTAGTTGAATCAATTCTATCTTATTGCATACTGATATCTGTGAGATAAAAATGTGATTCACTGACAGAAACGATTGCTTGTTTTCGATGATAGGCTGGTTCTAGTTATTTTTAAATGGTACAAAAAAATAAACGCCTTTCATAGCTTGTTTTGGGGATATTTCAAATACTTCAAGTATGAAATAATGACGGAAATGTGCCAAAAAATGACAGTAAATGATCCTAATTTAGAATATCTTTGTTTTGCCAGCCTAAAACTGCATTGGATGCCTTTAACTTGTAGCAAGGACAACTAATACAGTGATACTATAAGCAGAGCACTGAGTTAGGCAGATATACAACATTGTGTACAGTGTGACAGCTCAACGACAGGCCAGGTACAGTCTTATCTGTTGGCAAATAGGGCATACAACTTAGATGGTTAAAACTTAGTGCCTACAGCTGGCATTAGCAATTGAATTTTTCAACCAAATTTCACAGACTTGCATGAAGTTTAATTTTGGGGTGGGAAATTTGGATTAATCAAGTCTTAAACATACGAAAGTTATAAGTCATAGGAATGCACCCACTAGGCTGCAAAATTTCATTTTTAAGAAATATATACCTACAGCATCTATTGGTGGCATATGCATGGGCTACAGTTAATGCATTGCACTGCAGACGGCAGTGTGAATGATACATGTACTGATAGACATTTGTGAAATATATGAATACATCAAGGTGTTAATACACACAAAGCTGTTATGATATGATCCTATTTTTAAGCATTTAAGTAGTACACATCCTCATAATCTTCACATTTATTACAGATATTCTCGTTTTGATTTACAATAAGAATCTTTGAAAGCAGTTATATCACACGAGTGCAGGTAACTCACCATTTAGCCTACTTTAGCTACTAACTATCTAACTAACTAACAGCTCACAATGTGCTGATATACATGTGGTCTTCCTATAGTGCATAGTCTTATATCAAACATAATGTCATAAAATGCCCATCTGGATGAAGGTGTCACAGGGAATGTATTTGGTTAGAAGGTGCCACAAAGATCAGTCTATGTTGAACATCGTATCTTGTGAGGTACTGTATGCTATAACTTGGTGGCTGATGGCAAAGTTGGGTGATTTCTAACAACGGCTGAAGTAACCTGTGAAAAAAAATCAGAATCATGAAATTCAATCAAAGTCAGAGTCACGTGTTGTGTGATGCACTGTGCTAGAAAAGCCCATCACACATAGCCGAATAAGGCCTCACACTGTCGACTCCTCACAACATTGGTCAGGCCACACTGATTCGATTTAAAATTTATGGATGACATCCAGCCGTGCGCGCATCGATCACTCCCAATCTTCAGCCAACCTTGCTCTGTTGGTGTTTGGGGGAAGGGTATGAATGTCTGATAGGGGCTTGACATGTATCAAAGTTGAAAGCTCCTGAGACATTGACAAAACAAAACTGAATCTGCAAGCATGTCTATCTTAAACAAATGTAACTATTTGATATTGGACAATGTCTTAGTGGGAAGTCCTATTAATGAATAACAACAGCCTCAGACAAGGTGAACAGCAAGAAATATTAAAATCATAACACTGTTCATAAATTATTCCTTTTGTCTTCATCGGCCTCAAATGTACATGTAGGAAGGGATAGAACCCAATAGGTTTTGAGCTCAAAGGTAGAAAAGTAACATCCAGCAAAAACATTCAATTGTTCTCATTAAAAAAGATAATGCTAAACAGAGTACACAAAATGTCATCAGGAAATTTTGAGTTTTGTAGTATACCGGGGTACATGTATTCCAAGGTTGGATGAAATTTTTTGTGAACCCATAGCAAGCTTTTCAAGTTGATTGAAATTGTTCTTTCAGCTCTATGCTTTCACGTGTTGTCTTCTTCTTCAAGTTTACTTCTAAAAATCTATGAATCATGATGTAGCCTGACCCTATATCCCAACAACCCTCAATCACTGTATGTTTGATGTCTGTAGGAATCTAGGAAACTGCTTACCTCACTTCCCCTCTGAAATTGCACAGCACTATGATGAGTAGACGATTCTGAAGCCAGCTCCGGTAACAGACTGGTCAGCTGTGAAGCGGATATATAGCATATTCGAGGTGGACGTGTAATCTGCTGGGTTAGTCTGAGGAAAGAGAACAAGGAAAGAAGTTAGGAAAGACAATCAAGGCTGTAAAATGGATACATGCATTCACCACAAAGAACTGAAGATGCTTACAGCATTTGACATTAAAACATCTCGACTTGGAAACCTTTTTTGTCTTAGTCATGTTGTGAGGGGAGCCTCTTCAAGGAGACTACCTGTCCAAGGTGATCACTTTTCTTCGAATCCCTGGGTGGTTGCCTTGGGCAGGTTTGACTGTACATTAAAAGAATTCTCTAAGCATACTTACATTGCCACAGTATCTTCCCACTAGAGGTGCTTGTGCATTTGCTCCGTTGTAAACTGCCACGGAGTCGTAGTTGCAGTTGGTTTCGGCCTCGATATCGAACACGTCCCAGTGCAGCGTGATGACGCGGCCGGCGGCGACTCTGATCAGCCAGTTACAGGTCTGCTGGTGCGCGTACGGCTGGGGGTAGTCTGGGCTGGTGAAACTACCCTGGGTGGCCATCAGGTTTCCTCCACAACCTGGGGGATTCAATGAACATGTCTGAGTAAAACGGAAGAATTGCAAACCAATCCTCATGCAGTCATGACTAGAGCTGTGTACTGGTACCTGTACAATGTACGTGTGTACCGGTTCTGTACCGGAAAAATTGATTAGGTACAGGTCTAAAATACATAATCCCTCAGTACCTATACTGTACCTAAATAATTTCACACTAATTATATGCCTATTTGGTATTAATAATTCGCAGCTTACCACTGGATACTCTAGAAGTGGAGAAGGTGAGGTCATAGCCGGCGTGGGCCACAGAGGCATCAGTGACAAACTGCATCAGGATGACATCACTCTGAGGGAAGATGGGGTCAGGGATGGTCTGTCCGCAGTACTTAGCCAGCTGGGTGTCTGACGTCGACGTGCCATTGTAGAACTGGGACGTAAAAATAACAACAAAGTTGAGACTCTGGCCTGCATGGGTGCCATCCTCCGTAGTCCATGCATATGTAGCTACATGTACATGTACGTAGTGACAATAGGGAGCTGTACATGTCAGCCAATTGCAAAGATAGTTATCCCTGGTAAACGTATTATGATACTGTGAAACTATGAAACTGTAGTACTTACTGCTAGGTAGTCATAAGCGCAGTTGGGATGCGGCTCGATATAGAAGTCGTTGAAGTACACAGCGATGTATCTGCCGGGGTTTCTCAGGATGGTGCGACAGTCCGAGTTGTGTGGATAGTTGTCCGGCCAACCGGGGCTGACCAATCGCCCATTGTCCGCAGTGATGTTGCGACTGCAAGCTAATTGTAGAGCACCATACAGAGTCATTACAAAGTCACTAAACAATACATATCCAGCGTACATTGTACATACATGTAGATATGAACCACTACCATTGACTGATAATCTTAAGATTCAGAGTTGTAGAGTTGCATAGAAAAAAGAATTAGAAGTATGAAACCAAGTTATAGTCCAGAAGTTGCAGTAGACATTTCTGATGGAAAGTGGGATCGTAGAAATTTTGTAGTCAAGTTTATCATGCTTTAAAAACAACTTGACAATGTAAGAGCAATTCAGTAAGTTTTCACATACATGTACATACTTGCATGAGTATGATCACTCTATAAAAGAAAACTATTATTACAAACCAAGCTGTCATTGTGTAAATATACATGTACATTGTATACATGTGTACATTGTATACTTACACATGTTAATGTCTACTAGGCAACTTGATTTGTATCATACTGTTCCTTTTAATGAAAACTATTAATGTTGCAAATGTTTTACAATTTATAGCCCAGTTAAGGGATTTCATAACAGTGTTACTACAATTCATACCAATATTACTGGACCTGGTATAACATTTGAATAAGAATTGTTACAGTTACGTAATTGTTATTCTTGTAAAATGTTCAGGAACCAGGCCTAGCCCTTTAAAACAGCTTAGTTATGCAGTCCTGGCTGCACATCTTTTATACAACCTAATAAATCAAATCAAATCAATACAAATGTTTCCATTGAAATTTGAGTTACTAGCAAATCTGTTTGTAACTTACGTAAGCATGCAGAAATAGAACAGATTATGAAATATAGTTAAGAGAAAAAGGACAGCATGCAGAGACAGAGAGAGGAAAACTCACAGGCTATTTCAAACGTTCCTTTGAATCCCCTGCCCACCGTATCAGTGGACGAATCAGTTCTCAGGTTTATCTGTACGGTGGGCTTTACCGAGTCAAACTCGATGGTCTGGCTGTCACAGAACTTCAACGATTTGCCCATGGAATCCTGTTGATTAGGACGTAATCATTCATTTCTTTTCTTTACTATGAAAATCATACAAAAGCCTCCATGACCACATAGTCTTTACTGAATAGACTGATAGAATGTCATTGTACCGCCTGGCACAAAATGAATCAACGATGGGACCTGCCTCAACCGTGCAAGGCACTGGACATTCCAATGGGGGGATGGGAATTTTGTATTTTGCAATTTCATTTTTCATACTTAATTGTTTGAGCAATGTTACCTCTTTCGAGCGTATTTGCAACCCTTTTTTTCAGTGTCATTTTAACAATAAATGTATGTGGTCATAAGAAGCTTGTATTCATTTTTGTTCTTCAAATGCAGTAAGGAAGAGACCAGCAGCATTACAATTATATATTATGATTAAAGTTCAACCAAGGAGCTCCTTGGTTCAACAGATCTACTACTGAGCAGATACAATGGCAGTCAACTCTATCATTTGATATGCTAGCTTTAATTGCTAATATAAGGTGATAGTTTTGTCTAAATTGCTTTGTTTGCTGCTGATCTTTTTCCTGCATGACAATATGATCCCACAACTTACATGCTATCTCATAAGTCAGATAAAATCCTCGGCCAGCTGAGTTCACGTCAGTTCGGAAGTTAAGTTGCAGCGTGGGCTTGCGAGAGTCAAACTCTATCAGCTGTCTACCACAGTACGTCAACGTACGACCAGTGTCGTCCTAGTTAACGAAGGGTTAGTTGGTTAAATCATGGCAGTTAGTGCAACAAGCTGACAAAATTTAAGGTTAGAAGACAATCATGCTGAACTTGTGGTGAAAATGCTACAGTTGTTATTCCCAAAATTGTGGTCTTGATTTTAGCCTCAAATAAGCCTCTACCAGGCTTTGGAAGCAGCTGAAAGTGTAAAAATTGGCCACATTGAAAGAAAACATGTCAGGGGAGTTGGTCCCACTAAAGGAGGCAGCAAACATTCCTTTAGCAGACCAACTCCCCTGGCATTACACGTATATATATACAGTTTCCATTCTTTCCAGCCACTTCCGAAGCCTGGTAGAGGGTACTTATAAATGCCACATTATAAACAAGCAACAGATTAGTACATATACTATTACTTGCCAATTACTTGTAGCAAAGCAAATCTTCTCAAGACATGCAAAGCACATTTACATCCTTCACAGAACACATTGCACCATGTACAGAACACATTGCTATGCTTTAGACCTACACATTTAATGCAACATGCTTGAAGAAATTGCCTTGAAGAAAGAACATATATTGCAAGACAGATATTAAAAAAAGAGATGTCTACAACCAGCTGCAACCATGCCAAATTTATAATGTCAGTAAACATTATTGTCCATCTTTGGCAAAGAAATGGGTTACAAAATCATGTAAACTAATCAAGGCTAAGATCTGTAACAAAAGTGCCTGAGTGTAATAACAATGTACAAATTTTACCATCTTTCACTATTCCACGGAATATGCATGTGACTGCCAAATACAATATTACAGATACTATTTGCTCTGCCTCAGAGGTGTTGCCAAAAAACAAGAAATGCAGACGTCTGTGTGACCTTACCATAGGGTAGTCCCTCAGCTGGAGGTAATCGTATTGACATTGGGGATGAGCCTCGATCTGCATGTCTGTGATCTTGATCCGGAGCCTCTGTGCAGGATCCGGAGCTTGGATGGTCCAGCGACAGTTGAGGTTGTGGGGGTAGTTGCCGGGGTAGTTGGGCGACGTCAGAGTTTGAGGGGTACTGGTGGCATTGAATGTCCCTCCACATTGTGCTGTGAATGTATTTTCATTTCAATGTTGCATTACAAATGCACTATATGCATTACACACCAGTCAAATTTATTGTCAAATGCAGCATCCCTTGAGCTACACCAATAACATTTTTGCAAATTTTTTCTGCCATTTTGAAGTGACCACGAAAACCACAAACATAACACATGAAAAATATCAGGAATTACAGTATAAATAGCCTCCAGTTTAATTCCGGACTAACTCCCATATCTCAGCACCCTTACATCTAGATGGGCTAATATTGTGAACCAACGTTCTTACATCATTTTTACCTGTAGTTTATGATATTAGCCCATCTACATGTAAGGTTGCTGAGATATGGTAATTAGTCCAGAATTAAACTGGAAGTCCAGAAATAAACTAAAGGCTGTTGCGTGAATGGATGAGAGTTGCTGCACTCACAGTCCACAGCCTGCCATCTGGCCACAAAGCCGGTGTTGGTGACACTCTGGTCGGTGTAGAAGCGTATCCAGAGGAAGTTGGTGGACGTGTTGAAGGCAGGCGGGATGGTGTTACCACAGTAGGTGCCGATCAGAGGGTCCTGCTCACTCGGACCATCTCTTATCTATGGGAGGAAAATTACGTTTAATAAGATACTGTGGCAAAAAACAAACTAGAAAGTTAGAGAAAGGTGGATGACAGAGTATTCGTGGTGCTACAACGGTCAACCAAGAACAGCAAGCTTTAACTAGATGGGTAACATTTGCAAAGCAAATGCATAATGTTCACCTTTGCAGATGGTCTGCTCTGTTAATTTTTACTCA